ACACACACACACACACACACACACAGACACACACAGAGAATAAAAGCAAACACATGCAATTCAGAAGGAAACAAAAACCTATCTGACGGCTGCTGAGAAGGCTTAGTGGTAAAAGTGCTCATCAATCCTGACAACCTGAGTTTGGTCCCATGGTGAGAGCAGAGAACTGAAGTCCTGGAGTCCACACAGGGCCATGGCATACACATGTACACACACACACACACACACACACACACACACACAATAAGATGCAATTAAAAAGCAACAAATTATTAAAATGTGTTATCAGTGTATTTGCCTGGGCTATATAGTGTTGATATGACACAAATATTTAAGATCTATTTTTATTACATTTTAATTGTGTGTGTGTATGTGTGTGTGTGTGTGTGTGTGTGTGTGTGTGTGTGTACACATGAGTGAAGCTGCCCATAGAGTTAGAAGAGGACATTAAATTTGCTGGAACTGGATTTACAGGGAGCTATGAGCTACCTGATTTAGTAAGTTCTGGGAACCAAACCTAGGTCTCTGTCATAGCAGCAAGTGCTCTGACCACTGAACTATCTCTCAGCTCCCAACACATCAGTATGTGCATGGTAGCTGGTGACTCCTGACATAGTGTGTGTACAGTGTGACTCCTGACATAGTGTGTGCACAGTGTGACTCCTGACATAGTATGTGTACAGTGTGACTCCTGACATAGTGTGTGTACAGTGTGACTCCTGACATAGTGTGTGTACAGTGTGACTCCTGACATACTGTGTGCACAGTGTGACTCCTGACATAGTGTGTGTACAGTGTGACTCCTGACATAGTGTGTGTACAGTGTGACTCCTGACATAGTGTGTGTACAGTGTGACTCCTGACATAGTGTGTGTACAGTGTGACTCCTGACATAGTGTGTGTACAGTGTGACTCCTGACATAGTGTGTGTACAGTGTGACTCCTGACATAGTGTGTGTACAGTGTGACTCCTGACATAGTGTGTGTACAGTGTGACTCCTGACATAGTGTGTGTACAGTGTGACTCCTGACATAGTGTGTGTACAGTGTGACTCCTGACATATCACCATGCTAAGCATCCCATGTTCCCAAGCACCAGCCATGTATCCATTGGGATTCCTTTCTCTTCAGCCATACTGATGTGAACTGTAGATTGTTTTAACTCAATAATAACCCCATTGTGCTATAGAAAACCAAGTATGACTCTCTGACTTCCTTTGGTCCCCTTTCAACTTTGTCAACTCCCTCCCTCTGCCATCCCCAGACTCTAGTGACCCCCCCCACACATTGTTCTTCATCCAGGGTGACTTCTCAGCTCATGAGGAGTGGGAATATGTCACATTTGTCTTTCTGAGTCTGACTCATCTTGTTTAGCATCCCATCTCATCCAGGCAGTGTGTGTACACGGAGGAATCCTGCTCAGCCCTGAAGGGAATGAGGTCTCCTCACACACTTCCTTTATCCATCCATACATGGGTAGGCATTTCTGCTGACTGGACGCTTCCCATGAGGAGCAGCATTGTGGCAAACAGGGACTCAGATTTCTCTGGACACAAAGATTTCATCTTTGGGTTAAAACACACAAGCATTTAGTTTTTATGAGGACTTTCCCACTGTTCACCATGATATTTGTATTAATTTTAACTTCCTCTATCCTTGATAATATTTCCTGAGCCACCCTACCTGCTGTGACAATATTTCACTATGTTTCTGGGTTTGCACACTAAAATCCTATCCCTAACCCTTCTTTGTTTCTTTCACTTTTTAGAATGTAAAGTCAGCTTAACCTGGTGTGAGAATTGTTACTTTGTCTCACTTTTAGTTTCCATTTGTGTGATGTATCTTGCCCAAGCCTTCATTCCTAGTCTTTATATATGTTCATGAATGTGATGAGTTTCTTGTAAGAAGTGTATAGTTGAGACTTTTGTTATCATTTCTTCCAATTTATATCAGTTGATTGGTGAATTGAGTTTCTCTGTATTCAAGTGTATTTTTATTATCTTTTCCTTCCTTCTCCCCTCCTCTTTTTCTTTTCTTTTTTCTTTCTTCCTTCCTTTTTCTTTTTTGTGTGTGCCGCAGCACTTACACATCTGAAAACCTACTGCTTAGTGTCCTTCTGTGAGATATTGATAGCGTTTACCTTGTTACTCTGTTAACAGAAGCTCCTATATTTGAATTTTCCCACCCATGGATAATTTCTTCCCTACCTTCCATAATGTTAAGCTCCAAGAATGGAAAGGAGAGATTGAATTTTCCCTCTTAGTGTTCCCAGGGGCAGCAAGGCCTGACACAAGGCCAGTGCTCAGGGTGTTTTACAGACAATTCTGGGTGGGTGCAGTTTCAGGTGAGGCTGAAGACCTGTGGGCATGAGAAGGGCCAGCAGGTGGGGTGAGCAGGATCAGAAGGGGATTCCCTGCCCTGCATGGTTTCTGGGCTGGTTAGTTTAACTGTCAACTTGACTCAACTCAAATGAAATCATCTGGGAAGAGCATCTTAATGAGGAGTTATCTATGTCAGGATGCCCATGGCCGGGTCTCTGAGGGACCGTCCTGCTCAGGGATTCGTTGATTTCCTGACTCAGTTGGTCAGAGGCAGAGTTGGCTGTGGAGTCAGGTCCAAAGTGGACTTTTAAAATTTTCCCTTTTACCCTCCACTGTCTTTTTTGTTAGCTGAGGTAGGTAGAGTCACCACAGTGTGGGCAGCACATTCCCTAGGCAGGGGGCCCTGAAGAACATTAAAGAAGAGGAAACTGTATGAGAGATGTAAGGAGCCGTGTGTTTATTCTTTCTCTGCTCCTGACTGTGGACATGAGGTTGGCAGTTCTCTCTGTGACTTGCAGGCAGCCGTAGACTGTACTCTGAAATTGTCATCCAAACAATCCCTTTGTCCCCTACATTGTCTTTGTCAGGATATTTTTTATCACAGCAACAGTAACAAAACTCAACTTTCCCTCTGCCTCCATTGATCAAGATGGGCTCATGGTCTGGGTAGCTGGGAATTAGAGGCTGCAGTAGGTGAGTTCCTTGCAGGTGTCATAGTTCTCTTGCTGACCTCCCAGTTTGGGACATTGCTTGAGTCTCCTCCCAGAGAGCCTGTACTAGAGTGTGTTCTTGTCTCCACAGCACGTTATCTGGAGCAGCTGAAGGCTGAGTGTCATTACCTCAAGGGGAAAGAGAGTGTGAGGAGTGTGACCAGATTCATCTATAACCAGGAAGAGTTTGCACAATTTGACAGTGATATTGGGAAATTCCGGGCAGTGACAGAGTTGGGGCAGCCCATAGCTGAGGACTTGAACAGCCAGAAGGATGTCCTGGAAAATTATCGGGCCTCGGTGGACAGGTGTAGAAATAACTACAGACTTGTTGATTGGTTCCTATTGAACTTAAAAGGTAAACATTGGGGTGGAGGTGCATAGGGGAAAGTGTGTTGGGGGGGGCAGATAGACAGGCGAGAAAGACAGAGAGACAGAGAGAAGATAATGCTGCATTACGTCTGTGGAGATCACCAGACAGACTGCAGGAGTCATTCTCTCCTTTCACCCTGTGGGTCCTGGGAGTTTAACTGATGTCATCTGTCTTGGCAGCAATCTCTTTTACCCGATCAGCCATCTCACTGGCCCTAAACGTAATGACATTTTAGATTTTCTCTCCTCAAGGCCTCTGAGAATCACCTCTCTCTGCACCTGTTTCCCAGGGTAGAACCACCCTTGAGTTATTTTAGGGATGTGTGCACTGAGGTGCTGTGACCATGGTCTATCTGCACTGCCTTCAGTTGAGAAACTGGGAAAATTTATTTTGGTAAGAATTATTGTTTCAAGCTATAAAATAAAACTGTATATTTCCTCATATCCCATGAGGCCTGCCTTCAGGATTAACATTGCAGGAAGGTTTAGGAGGATTGTCTGGACTTCAGCCTGGCTGGCTGGAGACAGCCAGCCAGCCAACCTGGGAGGACAGCTCTGCCCTCATGACTTATTCTCACCCCCTTTTGTCCTCTAGCTGAACCCCAGGTGAGTGTGTACCCGACAAAGACACAGCCCTTGGAGCACCACAACCTCCTGGTCTGCTCTGCGAGCAGATTCTACCCCAGCCACATTGAAGTCAGATGGTTCCGGAATGGCCAGGAGGAGAAGGATGGGGTCATTTCCACAGGCCTGATCCAGAATGGAGACTGGACCTACCAGATCCTGGTGATGCTGGAGATGGTTCCTCAGAGTGGAGAGGTTTACACCTGCCAGGTGGAGCATCCCAGCCTGGCCAGCCCTGTCACAGTGGAGTGGAGTGAGTTAGAAGCCCTTGACCCTGTAAATCCCCACCCAGCAGGGGGGGGCATGGCTTATTCTACAGAGAAGGATGCATAGAATCTCCAAATTACTGGCTTTTACTCCTCACCTAGTTCAATGTCTACACCCACTGTACTGGCTGATTAAGAAGGAAGTAAAACAGAAAATCATTGGAAAATAAAATATTTAGATGGATGGGTGAAGGTTCTGGACACTCTCTGCCAGATGTGTCTATGAAGACAGACATCCCCAGTACAGCACACAGCATGAGCTAGGTTCTCTGGCCAGAATCAGGACAAAGTATACCTCTAAGTTTTAGGCTATAATCCCAGAAAGGAACTGAAATTAGATACACCTCTTCAAGACAGCAGCTGTTAACAGTAAAGTGGAGCTCAGGCTGGACTTGAACTCAAGATCCTCCTGCCTCACCTCCTTCAGGAAATCCTACAAGTGTGTGCCACCACAACTGATGGTGGTAGTGCAGGCCTTTAATCCCAGAACTCCGGAGGCAGAGGCAGGTGGATCTCTGTGAGTATGAGACCAGCCTGGTCTACAGATTGAGTTCCAGACAGCCAGGGCTGCACAGGGAAACCCTGTCCTGGAAAAACAAAACAACACTAAACAGGTAGTGGGTGACAAGTTTCACCAAGCAGTTCTCTCTGGTGCTGACAAACTCTTGAGTGAGATGTACGCCCCCACAACAGGCTGTGGACTCCAGAGCTCCAGATGGTATTGGACAAGTTATTTATGAACCCCAGGTGGTCGCCCACTGCATCCCACAAGTGCAGGAGAGGTGTCTCCACACCTGACAATGCTTGCTATGCAGATGAGTCCAGCAGGGGACCCAAGAGTCTGGATGGCTCTGCTGCTGCAGGAAAAAGTGCAGATGACTCTTCTGCCTTGAGACCAGACCCAGTCAGTAGCAGGATAAAGACAAAGGGTCACACTAGGTTTGGGTCACAACGAACTCAGTTCCTCTTAGTCTTGTTCCACTCTGAACCTGTGCCTGTGTCTGGTGCCCTCAGAAAATGCCTGCAGGCACCACAGTTGACTTCATGGTCTGCCTGCTCCTTCACTGTTGGCTGTAGGGACGACTCATTGGCCAAGATGTGTAGTAGGCAACACTACCGAGCTACCAGCTGCTGCCACAGCACTGGCAGAAATTGTGTCTTGAGTTTCATCGTGAGGAACAGTGTAGATTTATGAGGCAAACCAGGCATTAAAATTCCCATCCACGGCTGCAGCTGCAGTGTTTCCCTTACCTGCTTTGTGTGATTCTGAAATACCTTTCCAGGAGTGGCCAGGTCTAGCTCCCTGGTGCTCTGAATATCAGGACCTCAATGAAGGGCGTTGACTTTGAGATAAAACCCACACCTGGCTTCCCTCCCCAGCGGCTCAGTCCACATCCACACAGAACAGGGTATGGAGCGGGGTTATATTCGTGCTGGGTCTGCTGCTGCCTGTGGTTCAGTGCATCTACTTCAGGACCAGAGAGGTAAGGAGCCCGGCAGGGCCCAATCGTCTCCATAGCATTTCCGGGGAGGGGCGTGGCTTCCTAAGGTTAGAGATGAGGTATCAGGAGAACCTCTGAGAAGATGGCCGTCACCTAGGTTACCTCAAACTCTATGGAACTTCTTTACTCAACACTCTGTGGGTGTTGAGTGCAGCCTGAGGAACAGTGACTTGTAGATCAGAGAAAGATGAGCCTGCCTTGAAGGACAAGGAAGGGGGCCCTGCCAGGGCCTGTCCAGATGCTTTGCACTGAGCCTTGTTCCCTGAACTTATGGAAGGCCTGTGCTCTGAAGCAGTGTTGACTTGGGGTGTGAGGAGTTCTCTCTGCTCACTGCCATATGTCAAGAGAGGCCTGAGGGGGTGAGAGAAGCCACTGTAGAGTTAGGTCTGGAAACACCTCTGTCCCCTGTGCTCTGCAGGACTCCTGAGCTGAGGTGAGGTGAGAAGGCTGAAGGAAGGAGCTTCTTCCCCTGTCTCCATGGCTCGAGTTTCTCCATTGACAGAGTATCCCAGGACCTGGCTCCTCCTGGCTCTGGAACCTGCAGACCTGTGCTCCCTGGTGGCTGACTCAGCCCTGCCTGGGACTGGCAGCACCAGACAGATGCTCCCTCCTCTCCCCGGTTTTGTCCCCTTGTATCCCCTGCCCTTTGTCTGGAGCATCTGAACCCATCCTGTGACAGGATCCCTTGTCACGTTTTTTCCTCAAATAAGCATGCAGTTTTAAAGACAAGATATAGCAAACAGAAAGGAGAGATTACATTGCACAACATGGGTTTCGTTTAGTTATAAGTATGTGAGGTAATCCATGTTCTGAATTCTCAATGAAACATTGTGTGTGGGTCCATATGTGTGTGTATCCTTATGTGTCCTGTATGTGTGCCTGTGTGTGTGTGTATGTGTGTAAATAAAAGACCATGCTCTCTACACTGTAGTTACATATGTAACCCTGACTGGCCTGTAGACTAGGCTGGCCTACAATTCACAGAAATCCACCTGCCCCTGTCTCTGATAGGTTAGAAATAAATGCATGTGCCCCCACACCCAGCTGGCCTGAACTTCTTATTTAAAAAATCAACGGCAGTTCCTAAGCATTCAAAACTATGGTAGAGGCTGAAACGGGTGTGATAGTGTAAAGATCAGGAGCCGGACTGTCAAAGTAACCTGAAACACAGGACAAGGCTCATCAGTCATCATAATGACGAAACCCTGTGGATGAGCTTAGATGGAGCCTGAGGTTTGGTTCACACAATGGACATCTGCTCCTCTGTGGACCTGCACAGAGCACGAAGGTGAGTATTGGTTCCACTCAGATCTGAAGAGTTAGTTTCAAATGTAAATCCAAGAATCGAGCCATTGGCTAAAGGTTCCTAGCTCTAAGTCACCTTCAGGCACCTCCTTTGGTTCCACAAGCTTCAAACACACAGTTGTCCAACAATCCCGTGCAGGAGGTGAACACTCCCCCCAGTGCAGAGTGATGAATGAACGACAGACCACGGCAGAGCTGGCTCAGCAGTGCGGCCTGACTAATGTTTCAGCTGCAACTGGATCAAGCATTAAAAACACTAAATGAAAAAATCCTCTGAAAAGGATACATGTATACTAATTTTATAGTGCATTTATTCTTAGGAAGAGTTGTACATGGATACAATGTATTTTGATACTGTTCTCCTCCACTGTCTCCTTCCAGCTCCCCCTGGGACCTTCCCACACCTCTCCTTCCCAACTTCATTTCCTGTTACAAAAAAATTTTAACAATCCACTATGTGCAGTAAGCACTGTCCACATCCACACAGAAATGGGGTCAGTCAAGAGGTGACAAGAACTGCAAACCAACGGTCACCCTTCCCCCACAAAACAACTGTCCTTTTGTTTGGTTCTTGGTTTGTTTGTTGGTTTGAGACAATGCAGACCAGCCTGGCCTCTAACTCACAGAGACCCAGCTGCCTCTGCCTCCCAAGGGCTGGGGTGTTATGATAAATCTTTCCGCCAAATGCTGCCTGAGCCCCACCTCCATGTGTGAGCTTTATGCCAGCCGCCTGCCTGAGTTATGCCCAAATGAATACACAGAAACTTGTATTAAGTTCAAAGCTGCTTGGCCAATGACTACGGCTTCTCATCTGTTAGCTCAGTCTTAACTATCATAAACCTATATATTTTATAAGACTTATCTTATTGGACACCTGATTGGCGTCCCTCCTTGCTGGGATCACATCTTGCCACTGGAGCAGGAGCATAGGGGAAAAAGGGACCCTTCCTGTTTCTCCTTCTTTAAATATGAGTCTCCTTGCTATGTCACTTCCTGCCTGGATCACGACTTCTCTACTACATTTCCCAGAATCCTCTTTGACTCCTAGTCTGGTCTAACTTGCTGTCTCATTGGCCAAACCATATTTTATTTAACAATCAATAAGATAAACATACAGTACATTCCCCATCATCTCCTCTTTTCTGTCTAAATAAAAGTAGGAAACCTTACCTTTTATAATAACTGAAGAAAACTATAGCCATAACTATCTGTCTTCAACTCTATCAAAGACCACAGAAGGATAATATATAAACACTAGAATTGACAGAGACATTTGGCTACCTGGGCAGTCACCCAAAGTTCCTCTGTAACGTTGGGCATCCATCTTCAGCCCATAGGCCACAGTGTGTCTGGCACACTTCTCCATTTCAACAGGAACAGTACTGTCTTGTTTTGTAAGTTCAGCAGTCATTTTCTTGTGGGTCCTGCATGTCCTGTTTATATAGCAACAAACAGTCCAGGCAAGAGCAGTTTCTTGCCCAAATGGCTAATCTTGCCATGTTGAAAGCAAACTCCATAACAAGTTTCTTCCTAACTAACATAATTATAAGTTCTGACTATTATAGGTAAAAGATCTGTATAAACACAATACCTAAACAAGAATACCTAAACACATACATATCACAAAATTGACCTTAAAGTTGTATCAATAAATGAAAATCTATACCAATTGCAACTAATTCCCTCCTATATCCTATTTCCCTTTTCT